CAGAGCGTACAACGACAGAAAATAAATATGGTGTTTTAATAAATAATATGAATAGTGAAAAATGAGATGACAATAGTCCTAATAATGAAATATTGTACATATATTTATATTTTCTTTCATCTATATTTTGAGATGGGTATTATATACACTATTTACATTATTCGGACTATTGTCCTCATCTTTGCTGCCATTTTATTACAACGTTTTCGGCCTTTCAGTATCTGTCTATATTTCTGAGATGGGGTATTATGTACACTATTTACATTATTCGGACTATTGTCCTCATCTTTGTTGCCTATTTATTACAACGTTTTCGGCCTTTCAGTATCTGTCTATATTTCTGAGATGGGGTATTATGTACACTATTTACATTATTCGGACTATTGTCCTCATCTTTGTTGCCATATTTATTACAACGTTTTCGGCCTTTTTGAGATGGGGTATTATGTAGGACTATTGTCCTCATATCTGTCTATATTTCTGAGATGGGGTATTATGTACACTATTTACATTATTCGGACTATTGTCCTCATCTTTGTTGCCATATTTATTACAACGTTTTCGGCCTTTCAGTATCTGTCTATATTTCTGAGATGGGGTATTATGTACACTATTTACATTATTCGGACTATTGTCCTCATCTTTGTTGCCATATTTATTACAACGTTTTCGGCCTTTCAGTATCTGTCTATATTTCTGAGATGGGGTATTATGTACACTATTTACATTATTCGGACTATTGTCCTCATCTTTGTTGCCATATTTATTACAACGTTTTCGGCCTTTCAGTATCTGTCTATATTTCTGAGATGGGGTATTATGTACACTATTTACATTATTCGGACTATTGTCCTCATCTTTGTTGCCATATTTATTACAACGTTTTCGGCCTTTCAGTATCTGTCTATATTTCTGAGATGGGGTATTATGTACACTATTTACATTATTCGGACTATTGTCCTCATCTTTGTTGCCATATTTATTACAACGTTTTCGGCCTTTCAGTATCTGTCTATATTTCTGAGATGGGGTATTATGTACACTATTTACATTATTCGGACTATTGTCCTCATCTTTGTTGCCATATTTATTACAACGTTTTCGGCCTTTCAGTATCTGTCTATATTTCTGAGATGGGGTATTATGTACACTATTTACATTATTCGGACTATTGTCCTCATCTTTGTTGCCATATTTATTACAACGTTTTCGGCCTTTCAGTATCTGTCTATATTTCTGAGATGGGGTATTATGTACACTATTTACATTATTCGGACTATTGTCCTCATCTTTGTTGCCATATTTATTACAACGTTTTCGGCCTTTCAGTATCTGTCTATATTTCTGAGATGGGGTATTATGTACACTATTTACATTATTCGGACTATTGTCCTCATCTTTGTTGCCATATTTTATTACAACGTTTTCGGCCTTTCAGTATCTGTCTATATTTCTGAGATGGGGTATTATGTACACTATTTACATTATTCGGACTATTGTCCTCATCTTTGTTGCCATATTTATTACAACGTTTTCGGCCTTTCAGTATCTGTCTATATTTCTGAGATGGGGTATTATGTACACTATTTACATTATTCGGACTATTGTCCTCATCTTTGTTGCCATATTTATTACAACGTTTTCGGCCTTTCAGTATCTGTCTATATTTCTGAGATGGGGTATTATGTACACTATTTACATTATTCGGACTATTGTCCTCATCTTTGTTGCCATATTTATTACAACGTTTTCGGCCTTTCAGTATCTGTCTATATTTCTGAGATGGGGTATTATGTACACTATTTACATTATTCGGACTATTGTCCTCATCTTTGTTGCCATATTTATTACAACGTTTTCGGCCTTTCAGTATCTGTCTATATTTCTGAGATGGGGTATTATGTACACTATTTACATTATTCGGACTATTGTCCTTCTTTGTTGCCATATTTATTACAACGTTTTCGGCCTTTCAGTATCTGTCTATATTTCTGAGATGGGGTATTATGTACACTATTTACATTATTCGGACTATTGTCCTCATCTTTGTTGCCATATTTATTACAACGTTTTCGGCCTTTCAGTATCTGTCTATATTTCTGAGATGGGGTATTATGTACACTATTTACATTATTCGGACTATTGTCCTCATCTTTGTTGCCATATTTATTACAACGTTTTCGGCCTTTCAGTATCTGTCTATATTTCTGAGATGGGGTATTATGTACACTATTTACATTATTCGGACTATTGTCCTCATCTTTGTTGCCATATTTATTACAACGTTTTCGGCCTTTCAGTATCTGTCTATATTTCTGAGATGGGGTATTATGTACACTATTTACATTATTCGGACTATTGTCCTCATCTTTGTTGCCATATTTATTACAACGTTTTCGGCCTTTCAGTATCTGTCTATATTTCTGAGATGGGGTATTATGTACATTATTTACATTATTCGGACTATTGTCCTCATCTTTGTTGCCATATTTATTACAACGTTTTCGGCCTGTCTTATTTCTGAGATGGGGTATTATGTACTTTACATTATTCGTCTATATATTTATTACAACGTTTTCGGCCTTTCATATCTGTCTATTTCTGAGATGGGGTATTATGTACATTATTTACATTATTCGGACTATTGTCCTCATCTTTGTTGCCATATTTATCACAACGTTTCAGCCTTTCAGTATCTGTCTATATTGAGGAAATGGGCACTGATGATAGTGTGATTATCACAAGTCACTGTGTGTGAATTATTTCTAATTTATTCATTTAAAAATTAAAACATTTCTTTAGAGAAAAATTTTTTATGAATGTTTCCTGTTTCAAAGCAAACGATATTTACACATATGATCTTCCTTAGTGAAAAACGCCAATAGTTTAAAATGCTGACAACGTTAGTTTCCCCGAAAGATTACAAAATTCAAGAAGCATTGTATTTAATCATTATGTACGTTTTTATGTATGAGAGAGCGTGTGAGGGAACAAGTGAGAACGAAACAAAATATAATTTTGAGAAACATTATTTTGTTTATGACAAATCGTGCCATTCAGAAAACTAAATGGACCGCATTTTGCCCATGACTTTTATCGAACTTTTCGCCTCTTGAATTATCTTCCTGCTTTCCTGTAACCATGACCTTCACTATCGCTGCCACAGCTGGTTTGGTGCTGGTGATATATATATATATATATATATATATATATATATATATATATATATATATATATATATATCAAGTATATAATTGTTATATACGGAATGAATTCCAATAACCAACAATTAGTATTCTTAAAAGAGTGCTCAATACAAAGTAGAAAAGATATAATTATATTTAAAAAAAAAAATTTATAACATAAATATGTTATAAAATCACTACAAAAATAGCCATTTTGTTTCAACACACTTGGTGTCTTATCAAGTGATGATGTTGAATGTAAAATAAATGGTTTTAAAAGTTTCAAATTAATTAACGATCCTTAATGGCTACTTTTGTAGTGATTTTATAACATATTTATGTTATAATTTTTAAATATATATATATATATATATATATATATATATATAAATATATATATATATATATATATATGTATGTATGTATGAATGTATTGACCTCACACTCTTTGGGTCCTGTCACTGGATCTAACTAACGCCTTTATCCACTGTGCCATGTGTCCTCATACGTCAATATCTGGTTAAGGCAGTGTAGAACTTTCAGAGGGAAATTAACAGGAGATAACTGATAACTGACATCCATTGAACATGGCACGTGGAACTAGAACATTCTACCCCAGGGAGCGAAATAAAGGGTTCAGTTCGACATTCCAACCACCTGAAGAAGGTCAGAGCGTACAACGGCCAAAGCGTTGTAATAAATGTTGAGGTGTTCTCCCTTTTTTACACAAATGGACTCACCCAGTATATACTACGGCTACGTGAAGAACCGAGAGAGGAAGACAGATAAGTCGAGTCCAGAGTGGCAGAGTAAAGGTTGTAGGTAACCGGAAGAGTGAGGGTGAGGTAACAGCGTTGTAGGAGTCACAGTGAGCAAGCACGTAGACTCAGTAAGAAGTCATACAGCGATACTTCAATACCAAAGACTGTATATATATATTTTGCTACTAACCCGTAGTCCTGGAACTACTAAACTGCTTTACCAGTTTGTATTATTACGTTAATACATTATTTTCATATATTCATTCCTGGCGTTTGTTATTTATTGGTACCGGATTTCAACCCGGAATCCACAACAATAAGTATGGCGACAAAGATGAGGACAAAAGTCTGAATAATGTAAATAATGTACATAATAACTTATCTCAGAAATATATATATATATATATATATATATATATATATATATATATATAGATAGAGAGAGAGAGAGAGAGAGAGAGAATGCAAAGAACATGAAAGTTTATCCATCCTGACCTGGCATCTCGGCTTCAGTCACTTTCCCACCAACGTGAACTAGTATCTTTGTGTCTTCTATATTTTCACGATACTTGTCATGACGAGCTTTCCTCGATTTCACGAATTCGAGCGCAGTACTAGATTGGCAGCTAGGTCTCATAATTTCATTCTTCGAATGGCTGGTTTTAACCGTAACTTCTATGCTAATTTTTCCTTCTCTTGCTCTTCTCGCTTGTGGAACTCTCTTCTGGTTTTCTGCTTTCCTGTCAAACACGATCTTAAAAAAAATAAATGCAATGTCAATCGTCATTTTGTGTCTTCTTTTTATTGTCATATCCGTTTCTTTCGTTATCAGTAATCCCTTGTATCCTAGTGGCTTTATTGCCTTGTTTGGGGTGAAATGATTCAAAATAGAAATGTCTACATACGCGTTTACTCAAATGAAAACGTAGCGAATAAAATAAAACAAAAATTCAAGAAATGAACGCTTCCTCTTTTTTCCTTCCCTAAAAGTACATGACACTATATCAAATAGTAACGCTATAAAATTAACTCAATGTTTAGATAGCTGGTAAGTCTATCGCAGAGAAGAGATATTAACAGCTGGAATTGGAGAGAATAGACGAACCTGTTTACACGAAAACAAAAAAAAAAATGAGGAAGGAGAGAAAAAAATGGTGAAAGGAAAACACGACGACTAAAGTTTTAACAGAAAAAGGAAATTTTGTTGACAGAAGGAAATGAAGAGCAGGGCGATAGCTTTTGATAAGTATGGATTTCGGTAGAAGATTTTTAAAAAAATGCCCTCATTCTCCGATATCCCACGCTACCACCACCACCACCAACAACAACATTGCTTCATTTTTTTTCCCGAGTTTAGGAGATGAGATACGTGAAAATGCCTGAGATTGTCGAGACAAGATTTGAAAATAAGTAGGAGAAAATTGTATTTGGAAAAGTTCCATAGATGAATAACAACAACAGCAACAACAACTATAATAATAATAATAATAATAATAATAATAATAATAATAATATAGAGATGGAAAATATTTGCAATGGAAAAAAGAGAGGAAAAACTGCTGAAATAAAAGAAAACTTTATAGAAAGGAAATACAAAAGCATAAAAAGAAACTAATAGCGAGAAAGAGAAAGATTTAGTGAATGAGCGAATAAAATAAAGAAAGAAAGGAAGAAAAACCGGTGAAACAATATGAAGAGCAATAAATGTGTAGAAAGAAAGACAAGGAAAAAAAGCCAGGAGAAAGAAAGAAAGAATGAAAGAAAGAAAGAAAGGATACCAAAAGAAAGAAAGAAAGAAAGAAAGAAAGAAAGAAAGAAAGAAAGAATGGCAGGAAGAGGGGATGAAAGAAAGAAAGAAAGAAAGAAAGAAAGAAAGAAAGAAAGAAAGGATGCCAAAAGAAAGAAAGAAAGAAAGAATGAAAGAAAGAAATACACCAAGTGAAAGAAAGAAAAAATAACAGCAGGATAAATAAATAAATAAATAAAGAAAGAAAGAAAGAACGAAAGAAAGAACGAAAGAAAGAAAAAAAAGAAAAACGAACAGCAGTAAAAAAGAAAGAAAAAATGAATGAATCACACCAGGAAATAGGAAAAAATGAAGAAATAAATTAAGAATACAAGAAGAAAGAAAAAAAGAGAGAAAGAAAGAAAAGTAGAAAAAGAAAGAAAGAAAGAACGAAAGAAGAGTAGTAGAAGAAAGAAAGAAAGAAAGAAAGAAAGAAAGAAAGAACAGCAGTAAAAAGAAACAAAGAATGAATGAATCACACCAGGAAATAGGAATAAATGAACAAATAAATAAAGAATACAGAAAGAAAGAAAGAAAGAAAGAAAGAAAGAAAGAAAGAAAAGTAGAAAAAAAAGAAAGACGAATAGTAGAAGAAAGAAAGAAAAAAGAAAGAAAGGAAGAAAGAAAGAGAGAAAGAAAGAAAAGTAGGAAAAGAAAGAAAGAAGAGACGTAAAAGAAAGAAAGACGAATAGTAGAAGAAAGAAAGAAAAAAAGAAAAAAAGAAAGAAAGAAAGAAAAATACTTCGAGATTGAAAGAAGAAAACCGGGAGAAAGAAAGAAAGGAAGAAATAGATAAATAAAGAAAGAAATAAAGAAGAAAGAAAAAATAACGAAAGAAGAATAGTAAAGAAAGAAAGAATAAAACTATAAGAAAAGTAAGGGGACGAAAAAGAAGAGTGAGAGCAAGAAAGGAAATAGTGAGTGGAGATAGAATATATATTGGTGTGTGTGTGTGTGTTTGCGCGCGCATGCGCGTTAGCTGGTCAAGATAAACAGATGTTTCATCTTGCCTTCTTCAATCCTCGCTGCAGATGTTTGCATCAAATGACACCCAACGCTATTAAACTACTTGCTGAGCATGTAATTAACTCACAGGAAGTTTCCCCGAGATAAGAACAGAATTGGTTGGAAGAAGATGCACAGAATTACGGGCAAGTAAAGAATAAAACCTTAGAATATTTCAAGCTGGAAATCTCGTTTGGAGATGTGGAATATTGTGCCGTGTCTCTCCAAGACTTCGGCGATCATTGACCTCAAAAATTTCAGGTTCTTTGTAGCGCTTCATAATTTTTTTTCTTTTTGCTATCTCTCCTAAGCCTTGCTCTGCCATCCATTTACTCAAGTTCATTCTTCTTTTATGTGCCGTGTACCCTCAGGACGTTGTCGATCAAGGCTCTCCACATTTTCCCGTCCTCTGTAGCTCTTAATAATTTTTTTTTATCTCTCCTAAACCCTGTTCTTCCATCCATTTACTCAAGCTAATTCTGCTTCTATTTGTCGTGTCCCTTCAGGATGTTGGGGACCATGGCTCTCCACATTTTCCCGGTCTTTGTAGCTCTTAATAAATTTTGACTTTTTATTATCTCTCCTAAATTTTGTTCCTCCATCCATTTAATCAAACTAATTCTTCTTCTTCTATGGGTCGTGTCTTTTCTGGATGTTGGGGATCATGGCTCTCCACATTTTCCTGGTCTTTTTAGCTCTTAATAAATTTTGTCTTTTTATTATCTCTCCAAAATTTTGTTCTTCCATCCATTTACTCATGCTAATTCTGCTTCTATTTGTCGTGTCCCTTCAGGATGTTGGTGATCATGGCTCTCCACACTTTCCTGTTTTTATAGCTCTTAATAAATTTATATTTTTGGTATCTCTCATTGTTCCGCCATCCATTTACACGTTTACTAAGTTAGACATTGTTTTCCTCTGTCCCTCTTACCTTCTGTCCTGTGGCTATCAATTTTTCCAAGCCTTCTTTCCTCATTATTTTCCTTAGAAATTTCAACAGTCTCTCTTGATGTAAAGAATAGAATTCCATTTTTTTTCAGTTTTCTCTAAAACTTCGTCATTGGTCACATGTTTTGTCCAAGGTATCCTCAACATCCTTCTGTAGAACCACATTTCATCTATGAGGAGATTGTCTAGCATTTTACTGCCATACGGGAAGACTGATATTACGCAATATTTCAGTACTCTTTTCTTTGTTTCTAACGAAATTTTTCTATTTATTATTACTCTGTTTAGCTTTTGGAAGGCATATTTCGCTATCCCAGTTTTAATGACTTGAAAATGTGCCTGTATGATAATTGTCACTTCTTTGCAGAAGACCATATCTTCACTTGTTGGCTTTCGCTGTGTTTTTCATTCAGAATTTTATCATTTCTACGATTTTTACCCAAGCTAACGCTCTGCTATGAACACGTAAGAGATTCTTAAGGCCAGCTTCACTTTTACAGCCTCTCTTACACATGTGATAAACATGAATTTTGCCTGTGTTAACGTTGTTGGAAACTTGCCTGTCCCTGTGTACAATCATGTGATGTCTGTGCCCCACAACAGTCTTGCAGACTTTGTCACAAAACTAGTAAAAGTGTAGAGGACCGTGTGTGTTTGTGTTGTTGTATTAGAAACGGGGGTGTAACGCCTGGTAGAATATTAAAATATCCAACTCCAAGAAAATGGCCGGACTTGAATTAATTCCAACTGAAGATAAAGAAGACAAACAAGACCGAATATATATATATATATATATATATATATATATATATATATATATATATATATATATATATATATATATCAATAGAATAGAAAAGAATATATATATATATATATATATATATTTGAGAGAATAGAAAAGTTCAGAGCAGATAACATGAGAAAGATTTTAGAATCCCATGAAAATAAGTGGATACAACGTCTAAAAACACAATATCCAGCCGGGCTAAACCATAATTTTAACAATATAGGTAGTACTAATATATAACTCAACAAATCAAAACCTACCCACATTTCTCACCCACACAAGACAGACATGCTTACGGAGGTGTTGAGGCCTCATACTTATACACACACCCACACGAATACACACACTTACACACATCATACTCACTCACTCCCTAATGAGCCAAATGATAACACACACCCACAGCAATACACACACTTACACATATCATACTCACTCACTCCCTAAGAACCAAATAACACACACGCAAACACTAAACAGAGATATATCCCCTCAGGAGGCCCAATAAAACTGTCAAAGTGACCAGGGGAATTCAGAGAAGCATGGATCTATCCAGCTCTTATCTTAAATAACAACTTAAAAGAGACTGTTTGACCAACACAAGGAATGTTAAAAGATTCATGTTAAAAAGATAAAAATAAAAAACAAATGAAAACTACAGACAAAGTTCATTTTCTCCAGCAAAAGACCTTCATTTCTGTAGTTCACTGCTACCAGCAAGCAGAAATATTTCTTTTCCCGATGATGGCCATTTTGGCCGAAACTAGTCGAGGAATCTAAATGAAATAATAATAAAAAAAACGAAAGAATATTAATCTACAACCCAGTGTGTCTAAAGATTTTAATGTTTTTATATTTTTTTTATTGTTCAATATATATATATATATGTATTAAACAAAACAATTTTACAATGGACATAGACAATAACATTTGTGTGTGTGTGAACCTTTGTGTTTGTTCTTTGGTGAATGTCCGTACGTGCGTGTATGTGTGTATAATGTTCATGGCGTCTTCCACAAATGGGAGGACGCGGATCTTCTAAGAGAGCTTACATTGTAGTCGCTGAAATGAAGAAATGAAAAAGAGAACGAGGCGAGATGTCGCCCAGTATTTATAGTATAGGGAGAATGACCCCTAGTGACAATTTTGGAATTAAGGAGGAGCTAATTCCGACAAAAGTAGCCTGTAGGTCTTTCTTGTAGTGTCACATTTACAGGAGTTTGCATCTGACATCTCTAGTATGATCATACGTGGCTGGCTAAACGAGCCGTTGAATGGGTGACTTTTCCACAAATACTGCAAGTGCGTTGGTTTCCTAACAGATCTGAGACAAATTCTATTTCTTTCTTCATGGCGCGATTTTTGTTGGAATGTTCAATTCTCTTCTGCTCAAAATTGTTGCAGCATTTCCACATCAACCTCTTCCAGCCAGATCTATCTGCAGCATCATTAATGCCAAGAATCTTCAGCATTAATACCAAGAGTCTTTAGGTTACATTTAACTTATACCTTAAGACGACTTTTGGATCTATGAGCGTGTTAATTGCCTTGTACCGGGTCACTAGGAAAACATTTTTTTGGACATTCTGTCTTTCTTTATAGATGTCAGATGACCTGCCCAGCAAAGTAGTAGTTTTTCTATGCTGGATATGTTTGTGAGCTGAAGGAAATTTGTCGCTGGTATACAAGACTGTCAATTGATACGCAAGATTCGTTTCAGGCACTGCCTGTGTAAACGATTTAGAGGAATATAAAAGTTAGGATAAGTTGTCACTCGAGAGTTAAAACAAAATAGATGCAGTTGCAGTTTTTTTTTATGTATATCTATCTACTAGTAGATAAGCAAGAAGTTTAACCAATCAGAAGACGTAGAATATTCAATCCGTCGTGTATAAAGGCGGCCATTTTGTTTACTCTATCCGAATTTCCAGTGCCAGCTTGTCAGGCGAAGAGAAACAGAAGGACGAACTACGCTCTGCTACTTTTACCAAAATATCCACTGCTAATCTGAACTACGCTTCCCTAATGTCTTCGAAATATTCACTGCTAACCTTTGGATTCTATACTCGAAGACGACCGTCATCATGAATAACAGATGCATATAGAATCATTGTGAAAACATTGACCAGTGAAACACAAAACATTCAAGTGCCGAAGCACTGACTATACATGAAAAAGAAATGAAAAGTTTAAAAATTGTTAGTAGTTCATTTTGCTTCCAAATAATATATTAATACAGTACTGTCCCATGCGATAAGGCGCATTGGAATAGCGAAAGATGCCTTTCAAAAGGTAAGCAAAGTATAAAGAAAGGAAAATTTCGTTATAAGCAAATGAAAGTGGCGGATGAGGCGGGACACATTCATACATTTTTCCCTAATTGACGCTAAGCCACAACAACCAACTGAGTGAGCTGAAACTTGGCAAAAACATACTCCAGTATCTTGCCTATTTGTTGAACCTACTATGAAATGTATCGAATGCAGAATTTTCATAATATTATAGCTTTATGGTAGCACCTCAAATGCATCAACCTACAGCACCCGTGAGGCACATTCATGCAATAAAGTGGGCAGGTTGATGCAGGTCTAAACAAATTGATGCAAAGAATTATCAACGCAAAAGGTGTGTTTAAAAGGTCTTTTTAATGTGGCCAAGAGTATATATTAACAAGTAGAAGTGAATATATATATATATATATATATATATATATATAGTACAGATTAGAACAGACACCAATGAGTAATTTTTTTATCCAGTGGCCTGTAGGGACGTAGGAACACCATGTGTACTCCGTCTATTGTAAAAGTTGTGTTTCTTGGGCAAGATAGCCTGACGGGGACCAATCCTCTCTAGGCCGGTTTTGAATTCAGAGTTTTTCTTTCGCCTAATACCGGTGGCCACCCAAGGTTAAAGAAACCAGTCTATCCTGAAATTTACTCATGGCTGGGGGGAGGGAGAAACGGATACATACCTTTCGCAAGGATATTAGCACGTATGTGAATGTAATGGATCCGACTAATGAGCATATATATATATATATATATATATATATATATATATATATATATATATATAGAGTTAAATTCCCAGATCAATTCTGTGGACAAGACAGATTGGA